ATATATTATTCTTTTTGATCAATTAGGGCTAAACAGACAAGCACAAATCAATCGGAGCTTCTTGTGTGAAGTAGAGTAAGCAAACGAAACTGAGAGCCGTACGGGGACAAGACAGTCAGAGACAGCTTGCTCATAGAAACAACAATAATGCTTGAGACCACTAATTAAAACTATCATTAATGATGTGACAATAGATCTCACTAACTGTCACAGCTTGTGTTGTGCCTTGTTTTTTATTTTTTTATTTTTTTTCTCACCTCATTAATGGTAAATTTAAAACTCATTATTTAGAGCTCTAAATTATTACTGTAGAAAGAAAATAGACAAGTCGGTCAAACAAAAACAATGCACAACTGATTAAGTCATAAAATATGATTCTTCATCTTTAAAATTCAGAATCAAATTATAAAATATGATTTACATATTTTAAAAATTAGAATCAAACTGTATATTAAAAAAAACAAAATTAAATCATACGTTTGATTTAGACTAATTTATTTTTGTTTTCTTTTTTTGCTTAACCTTCTAAAAGTGTAAAATTTAAATTAGATAAACTATAGATTTATTTGGGAAGGGATTACTTTAATCTTATTAAGTTTACAAAAAAAAAAAAAATACAAAACAAATAAAATAAGTAAAATAAGTGAGTGTTTTGGGTAACATTTAGTAGAATTTTAGAATTATAATTTGATAATAAAGTTGTATTTTGAGTTTGTGAGTTTTGAAATTATGATTTGAAAAGAGAAAATTTGTTTTGTTATGAGTTTTGAATTGATTTTTGCATTTTTGATGTGACATATGAAATGAAAAAAATTGTTTGGTTATGAGTTTTAAAAGAATTTTTAAAATTTAATTCAAAAACTTATAACTCATAACCAAACACACAACTCAAAACTCTATTTAAAATTCTATTCAAAATTTATAACCAAACTCTTTTTAAAATTCAATTCAAAAAAATAATTTGTTATTTTGGTCAAAAAAATAATTTGTATATTTAAAAAATATAAAAAACAAACACTTTGTTTGGTTATAGTTTTCAAAAAATTCTATTTTTTTAAATTTTTCATATTTTAGTGTTTTCAATGAATTTTTTTAATATTTTAAGCATTTTCTTTTATGTTTAATCATAGCTAATATAAATATACTTAAAAAGTATAATATTTGTGAAAAAAATCTTTAAAAATTACACTAAATACCAAAAAATACAAAAAAAAAACTACAAAAATTTAGTATATTTTTCATATTTTTGTATATTTAATAATTTTTTAAAATATTTTTTCACAAATATTTTACTATTTAGATACATCTAAGTAAGAGGCATATAAAAAAGTAAAAAAAAAATTGTTTAAAATTTTAAAAAAGATTCACTGAAAATAAAAAAATAAGAAAAATAAAAGCTAATTTTCAGAAAATTGAAACCAAACACACTGAATATAATTTTTTTTCTCCCAAATAATAGGTAATGATTGACAATTGTAAAAAAAAAAAAAAAAAAAACCATTCTGGTCAACAAACCAAACATCTGGGAGGATGTCCGGGCAGACGACTGGGTAGACCAAAAATTTAAAAATTGTCCGATTTACCAAACATATTTTCAAAATGTGTTTTATAATTAATTTAAAATGATAATTTAAAAACTCAAACCAAACATAACATTCAAATATAATAGTAAAAAATAAAATAGAAACCCACATCAAACACAACTTTGATTTTTTAATTACACTAACAGTCGCTATAGTTTGGGACTCGTGTCACTTTAATCTTTTACTTTTTAATTGTAACAAATTTGACTATGAATTTTAAATCTTCTTGTTCAAATAAAGACAATTGAAGATATTATTACTCAATTTCAAGGACAAAGTCGTCAATTTGATAAAATATAAATCAATTTGACAAAAATAAATGTCAAAAAAATGTTTTTGGATTTTTAAAAATTATTTCTACCTATCAAAAATAATTATGTAAAATTGATAAATTTTTTACATATTTATTTATTTTTATCAAATTAACTTTTATTATGTGTTTGGATAATGATCATATAATGATTGGTTTTTTTTTTTTTTTTTAATGTTTATCACATAATGGATGATTGTATTTTTTGTTAATAAATATTTTTGAATGATTATCATGTAATGGGTAGTTATTAGGTTTTTAATATATAATCGATATATTGAATATATGAAATGTTTTTAGTTTTGGATTTTTTGATTTAATAGATTAGTTTAATAATGATAATTTGACCACATTGCCTGCTTAGTGATCAACTGGAGAGCACAGGCAGAATAGATGGCTTCAGCAACCTGTAACAGAAAGAAAAGGCTCCGGCGGTGGTTCTTCCACCCGGGGGCACTCCGACGATCAAGTCAGTATATCTCTCAAAGATAATCAAGTGCTAAACTTAATACTCAAAACATAAATTGCATACCCTAGACCCACGGGGGTGCCTCTCTTTTATAATATATTCAATCCAAGTCCTACTAGAAGTATGACTTCTATGAACTCCAATTCAGTGCTTACTTTGGACTCCTTAAGAGATAAAGATAAACTCCCTAAGAGCTTTATCCTTATCTTGGTTAAGTCCCCCTTCGTCTTAGGACTCTTGTCCCTTATTCGCTTATCTCGGATTCCGATATCTTCGGAGTTAACCTCGGCCTAACCGAGATGACCTCGGCATAACGACCAGGATCGGCCGAAGATGGCTGGGTTTACTACTTACGAATAAGGCGCCGGCGTGAAAAAATAATAAAGGATACCCCGGATAAAGACGTGAACGATGCGATATTTCGACATTTCTTTTCTGAGTAATGGCTCAAAAACTATTTAGCCGAGATAATCCACTTCCAGCCGATGTGTTCTCTTCGGAGAACAAGGTTTCGAACGTACTCTCCCACGCGCCTGAGCTGTCATGCACTTCTAACCGTTCCCTTCAAATGCTTTATTTTTATTGGCCCGTTCCTGCGACGCGCCTTAAGGCTATCTTTTCATCCGTCTGCGCCGTCTGACGTATCCGGTGCTTCAGGCGTAATAAATGCCCTATTTTTGCCGCCGTTTCAAGTTTTGATAAAACTTCTGTTTGCCTCTTTCTTTCTTCACTTTTTCATTCTGATTTCTTGCTCTTTCTCTCTCCGAAAGCTCTTTTGCTTCGAATCTGCCATTGCTTCAATCTCTCTTCTGAAACTGTCTTTAATCTTCTATTCTTGCGAAGCTTTCTTTGTTGTCACAACCGATTTCTGATCTCGGCGAATATTGCCCCGGCTTCATTTGTTCTGGTAAGATTCTGTTCCTTTCACTCTTAGTTCTCTTTATGTGCTTTCGTCTGCCTGTTGTCATTATTGCTTTTGTTCAAAGCCTTGGATTTGTTTGTATCTTGAATCGTGGCTACATCTTGAACACTTGCACTATTTCACCACTTTTCTTGCCACTGTTCTTGATTTTTTCACTTTTGTATTTCTTTCGTTTCTAAGAACCATACCTCTGCTCTTTGATTCTGAAGCGTCATCGTTTTCTGTTTTTCGTATCTGTCCCAGATCTGTGCCTTCGATCTTGATCTTTATAGTTCTTAGGCTTGGGATTTGTGTGTAGATCCTTTAAGTTTTTTAGGGAAAACTGAAACAAGCCTTATCAGTCCTTTCCTAGGCCTTTGTCGAGGTTTTTGCAATCCTTCTAAAACGCCCATCTCCTGAAACACATTCCTCTTTGTTTAGGCCGACGTAATGGGTATGTGGAGGCATAGGGTAAATACCCCAACAAAACTCGAATACTTTCGGCAGGAGTTTTCCATCCCATCCGATGTTCACCTCAGACTAGCTGGGGATGACGATTCCATTATGCCCACAGATCATACGATGCCCTTTCCTATAGTAGCTTTCACTGAATGTGGACTTCGGCTTCCACTTAATACCCTATTTCGTGAAGTTCTTTATTTCTACAAGCTGAACCCCATGCAACTTACCATCAACTCCTATAGGGTGATTAACGGTATTATAGCTTTAGCTAGGCAGGAGAATCTTAGGATCACCCTGGCCGACCTTCAGTACTGTTATACAATGTGCCCCCTCAACCTGAAGGAAAGGGGCTTTGTTTATTACCTTAAGCCGAGGTCTACCGAGTTCAAAATTGTAGCCGACCTCCCAGACTCCAACAAGGGGGCTGGGGATGACTTTGTTATCGCTTCGGGAAATTGGGAATTTGGCCCAGACGAAGATGTCCATCTCTACCCTCTTCCTCGATCAGTTAAAGAGGGCAAGGGTAAGAGCCCAGTGCCAATGCTTAGTTGTTTTTATTTAAGTCTTTAAAATTTTGTCTGTTTCTAATGTCTGTTTGCTTGTCCTGCAGATCTTCATCAGCCACCAAAGAACTTCTGTCAATCCTTCTTTCCTGGAAAAGACTTAAAGAAGCTTCTTGGTCTTCCTATCCACAAGCGCAAGGCTCCCCTGTTGCTCAATTTTATTCCGACATACAAATCCACATTACCCGACGTCCCAAAAAGGAAGAAAAAGAGTCTTTCTCCACCTACTGCCACAACTGTAACCGCGTCTTCATCCCGAACAGATCAAGGATCCACCTCTGACCCAGCCGATCTTCCATCCACTTCGGCCCCCTACTTAATACCAATTCCAGAACGTAAACGTCGACGAAGACTTGTAAAGACTGCCGAGATGGTTCGTCCAAGGCCTGTCGTTCAAGATCTTCTCGCTGACCTTCCAACCGACGCCGATGCTGTACCAACGCATGCGATGCCCCCACCAAAGCCAAAGAGAGTAAAAAAGGCTCAGCCCAAGGCCAAGGCTACTGACGTCGAGGTTGAGGATGCTTTGCCTATTGCTCAGCTGGCAGAAAGCAAAAAATCAACCTCTGCTTCCACCAAGAGGTCTGCTGAGGCCCAACCCTCAGGGTCTACACAATCAAAAAAGCCGAGGTCATCGTCTGCGACGACCTCGGCGTCCAAGAAGCCCGACATTCCATGGGCCCCTCAACTAACTCTGGAGGATAGGCCTATTATGGCCAGTGAAAGTGCCGACGATATCAACGTTGGTGTCACCCTCAACACTGCTCTTTTCCTTCCGAAGGATTTGGACCGAAATGCTGAGCTTAGTGAGTATGAGAATTACGCTCTTATGCTCCAACACTTCATTCAAGTAAGTGTTCCTGTTTGCACTTGTGATTTTTCCTTCTGTTTCTTACTGAGAATATTTTCTAATACTTCTGTTTTTCTTTAGGCCATTCAGCACGCCCATTCATTTTCAATGCAATCTTTTGAAAATCGGCAAAGATTGGTTGATATGAAGAGGGAAGCATCTTCCATGAAGAAAGAGATCAAATCTCTTGAATCAAAGATGAGAAAACTGGAGGACCAGGCCGAGGCTGCGACTAAGGCCCAGCAGATGGCTAAAGAGAAAGTGGAGTCTGCTGAGGCTATCCGAAAAGTAGCTGAAGCTGAGAAGAAGGGAGCCGAAGCGAAAAAGGCCCAGGCTGAGAAGGAGCTCCAGCAGGCTTTGGCCACCAAGGAGCCCGAAGTCAAAGAGGCTGATGAAAAGGCCTATGCCCAGGGTATGGCCGACGTCACAGAGGATTATAAACTTCAAATCAGGCAGGCATGCAATAGGGGATTTTCCCTTGGTTGGATGTCCCTGATAAAAAAACTTGATCTCCCTGTTGACTCGCCCTTTCGTAATGCCGATGCCATTCCTTTACCATTTCCTCCTCCAAGTCAAGTTGAAGACGAATCAGAGACTGAGGCTGATGCCGAGGATGAGGATGAAGGGAAAAATGATGATGAGGCCTTGGTGAGGAAACCCAAGGATGCTGCTGAAGCCAAGTCCCCTCCTTCTGCTGAGCAAGTCATGGATTTAACCTTGGATGAGGAGGGTGATGAGGTTGGGGAGGCACCCAAGGAAATTGCCATCGGGCAACTATCGTCCGACCTTCTTTTGGCTGAAAGAAATCTGGACAATACGCTGGCTGAGATTGATGCTGAGATTGAAGCAGAAAAGGTTGCCGAGGAGGTTCCACCAGAATCGTCCGAGGTCCTAGTCCCTGCAGCTGCTAATACTGATGAGTCTTGATTTAAAATGTCTTTTGTACTTTTGTACTATCTTTTAATTTCTGGACAATGCAAAACTCCTTCTTATGGCCGACGTAGCTTTTTCAATATGTAACTGTAACTGTTCTTTCTATGGATGTTTTTAGTCTTGTGATGTTCTGTTGACTGCTTCTGTATAGTTCTATACTTAGAAATTTTTGCATGCTTTTTCATTTTGCTTCCTTTGTGCAATCTTCTCGGGGTTACATACCTCGGGTATAACTACAAAACTTTTACTTCGGCAAGATACTGACCTGCAAACCTTTCATAAATTTTAACAGATATAAAACATATACTACTTAATGTAAACTTTACAAGCTTCTTCTTCAAGTTTTAACAAGTATTAAACAGTGATCTCGGTCTAACCTACTTGTAAATTGCTACAAATCCCAGGCTGAGAAGGAGCTCCAGCAGGCTTTGGCCACCAAGGAGGCCGAAGTCAAAGAAGCTGATGAAAAGGCCTATGCCCAGGGTATGGCCGACGTCACAGAGGATTATAAACTTCAAGTCAGACAGGCATGCAACAGGGGATTTTCCCTTGGTTGGATGTCCCTGATAAAAAAACTTGATCTCCCTGTTGACTCGCCCTTTCATAATGCCGATGCCATTCCTTTACCATTTCCTCCTCCAAATCAGGTTGAAGACGAGTCAGAGCTTGAGGCTGATGCCAAGGATGAGGATGAAGAGAAGAATGATGATGAGGCCTTGGTGAGAAAACCCAAGGATGCTGCTGAA